AGACTTACAGTGTGGGCGCGAGAGCGCGTCGAACGCTCAATCGACCACGCCTTATTAGGTGGAATATTTGTAGCATCGCAGGTTCAACGAACCCTCCTTTTCGTGGAATCGGGCTCCACCGAAAGAACAAAAAAAGACTTCACACAAGGCTATGGTAATGCACCGGCGCCGGGGAATCGAACCCCGTCTCACCAAGAACGAGAGTCCGTTGATTATTCCCGGTGTGTGTCAGGCGTATATGGGGTTTTGATGTATCACAAGGTGTCGTGTGGCGGAGGTGTACTGATGTATCATATGGCCAGGTGCAGAGACCGGTGTGATACATCAATTGAGAGACATCCCGTTTTGGCCTCCGCCATTCTGCCGCGCGGGTGCGCGCCTCTTCGGGCATTAGGTGGTCCGTGCACGGGGCGCGTGCGCCCATCCCAAATCGGGGCATTTGTTGACACATGTTATTTAGCCATCACTTCCCATCACTCCTCTCCCTCCTCTTCCCCCGCGCCCCCCGTCGCTGCTGGGACCGCCAGTGGGTCCTGCTCTTGTGTACACACACTCTTTTGCTTGCCCGTATCCTGTCTCGGGCCTCCGCATGGTCCGATTCAGCTTTGATAGCCCACCATTGGCCTCGCAAATCGGTACACGTCTCCGCAAGCGTCCTCTGTAATTTGGCCCTCGCTGCACCTAATCGCCTACGATTCAGTGGGGCCCTGCTCTTACTCGTCACCGTACCCTTGCTCGCTTCCTGGCCCTCAGGTGCGTCCCCTGCGCTCGCTATCGTCGCCCCCGATCCCCCAGCACGGCATGCGCTCGCGTGCCAGCTCCTGGGCCCCGTTTGGTCCAAAACTTGGCCCCAGTGCGCTCATGGCTCTGCGCAACTGTACGCGCCATTGCGTGCCGCTGTCGAATCCCAATCCGCGCTGATTTGCGACATTTGCCCCCCAGCCTGCTGCCGCGCGCTGGGCCGGGAATTTCGGTTAGCCCTTGCGTCTGGTATGCCCAAGCAAGGCCATATCCCCCCGCATTGACTTGCTCGCTAAGCGCGCACTTCCCCGGCTGTGTTGCTCGCTGCATCGACCGTTTTGCGCCGGGCTCGGCATTTGGGTGCTGGTATACCAGCTTCGTCCAGTGGCTCTACGGTGTGTCATTGCCACTCATTTTATCCCCACATACTCATGCTTTCGTCGTTTTCTGCTTTCGTCGTTTTCCGCGTTCGATGATTGCCCGCGACGCAGCTGCCCCGATCCGTCCGGCTGCAGTATCCCGCCGCAGCATGGCATTGCAGGGCCGGTACGTTGCGGCGTCCCCATGCACAATGCGGCACTCTGCACGTCAGGTCGCCCCTGCACGGCAAAGCCTGTATCTGTAGTTTGGCCCTCCGGTCTGCCTCATCGATATCTGCCCCTCGGCATCGAATCAATTGACCTCCTCTGTATTTTTTCTGACCATCTTGACGACGGTAATACATGAATCAATTTGATTTGGTGCTATTGGAATGCGCAGACTCGCGGAAATGTGCTACTGCTCAAAAACACAATCATTGAGTAAAACCTGCCCTTCGGCTTCGACCGTTTCTTAAACAGGCCGTTCCACGTCGGTTTCGAGTACAATGGGTGCAAATGAGCATCTTTCATTTCTTTTATGTCCGCCAAAAGGCCATATAAACCTCAGGAAAGTGGCCTCGCCGCTATAATCAAGATTTGATGGCGGCGAAAACCTCGTTTCTTGAGTCGTTGAAACACTCTGGAACTTTGGGAGAGTCCTAAATAGTGAAATTGTGTAAAAGATAATGTTCTGGGTGCTTCCTGATACAAGGATTTGAAAGTTGTCAAAAAAAAGCAATATGAACTTGACTTGGCTCCGAAACCACAGTAATCTTACGGTGAGTTGACGCTTGTTAAACCGTAAATTCTGCTCACCTTTCCTACCACAAATCTCCAGCTCATGAAATTTAACATTTTCAAGAACACTCTGGCTCCCTGACCTTGGTTGTGTAGATAGAACCTCAGTTCCGCGCCGTTATTGGTCTCACCGACGCAATTTGTTCAAGTCGCTGATTTTTGGTACCCTCTTTCCGCGGCTTTTTTTGGACAGAACACTTCATTTTGTGAATAGAAATTGTTTTGCGGTGTCTAAAATCTCCCTGAGTCGTCAAGACCTTCAAACGAACATGAACTTTGGCGCTATTACGGCGTCTGTCACGCCGTGACAGCGTGATTCTTTCTCTTCTGCACCACCACATCGTCCAGCGCCGCATTCCCGCAAGACCGTTTCACCCCTCGATGCACCTCAAGTCCAGAGCTAGGCTATTCGCCGTCACAATAATGCCCCTTTCCTTGCTTTCTGTCCGGCTGGGTCCCTGGCACGGGCTGTTCTGTGTCTCGCCCCTCCTCGATGCCAAACTCAAGCCTACCGCCGCGGAAACAAGGGACGGCTCGCACAAGTATCAAAGATTACCCTCTGGTGCCCCCCCATGGCCTCTGTTTTGCTTGCCGTTAAATGCAGGTTTCAAAAACCATGCTTTTGGTGGAACCAGAGTCGTGACGGAGGGGACCGGGAAGATCGAGATCTGGAGGTATCCAGTCTCGCGACTGGTGCGTCGTACACGGCTTCGCTTCACGCCGTACGCCAACTCTTCCCTTTTCCTCCTTCGCAGCAGTCTCCCGCGGTAGCCCCAGTGCGTGATACACTGATTCGTCAGTGTACGCTTACTAGCTTTGCTCCTCTGCACCTAATTGTGGTGCGTTCCAAATTGCAGTGCAATTCCCGCGCCCCGTGCGCACATGATCCCCGGCTTGCGCCATCGCCGGTGAAGAGATAGCTATGGCCCTTTGCGGTCGCCGGCGTGCAGCGCAGCCGTACAACTGTCTCCGCGCCGGCGTCAACGATGGCGCCGCGCAGCACGCCATGTTGCACCCGCGCCTGCAGACGCAGGTCCTGCGCGTCGCGCCTCCTTCACCGTGCGCCTGTGCCTGCTGCTCGCTCCTCACTCCCACTCCCACTCCCCACATGTGCAGCGCTGCAGCAATAGCTGGCCCAGTTTCTGTCACTGCTGCAGCGGACGGGGAGGGGGGAGCGGCCGCGTCCCTGGCCAGGAGGCGCTGCGGCCCGCCGCCGCCGCACTGGCGTGCGTGGCAGCGCAACTAGCGCCAGCAATACTGCCCGTGCCATTGTAGACGACGGCAGGGGAGCGGCGTGTGCGAGCGCGACAACTGCCGACGCTTACCTGTGCTCGTGCATCCAGGGGCCCGCGTGCAGCCCCCATCCGAGCTCTCCACTAGGGCAGGGGGGGGCAATGATGTCGAGAATTGGGCGTAGGGGTCCGGGGAAAACGGTTCAGCGAAAACGAAGACGAGCGCCCGTCACTCGATATACCTAAACACGTGGCCCTCCCCTTGACTTTGGACGGATGGCAGTACTATGGACATCATGTAGCTTTTTTCTCTGTATTTTTATCTATTTTATTACATTTTTTTCAAGAAATAAGCGTGCTCGTCGTCCATCACGACGTCGAGCGACTCTCGACGCCGTCGTCCGATTTGGGATGATTATGTCACCCTGTCAATCAAATTCTGCTCGCTGTGCCCCACAGCGACGACGACATGAAGCTCCTATATTTGGGTAGGGGACAGGTCTCTGAGATGATACATCATTCGGGTCTCTGCGCCAGGCCATATGGTACATCACATCACACTCTCGCCTAGGGGAGGTGATATATCAATACCCCAGCCTCAGGTGTGTGTGTTCCATAGCACATGCACAACCGATGCTGATATATATTTTATCATAACTTCTCTTTTCGAGGATCGATAGACACGAACGCGCGCGGGAATGGTGGAGCCTGAGGGAAATAGATCCAACCCGAAGTTCAACACACCGGCCTAAATCCAACCTAAATCACGAAGCAGTGGGCAAGATGAGCGGTGCACGGATTCGTCGGCCACCGCGTCTGGCACCGGGATCCGGTATCGACACAGATTGAGAAAAAATGCTCAGAAGGACTCAGATAGAGCCACGGAATGCACCGGCGGGGAATTGAACCCCGTCTTAACGTGGAACTCCGTCGAGAGGAACTAGCGTATTGGTACGTATGCGTGTGCCACACACTACCGGTGCTTATACCAGCGCAGTAAACACATTCCCTGCGTCTTCGTGAGGACTTACTGCCCACGTTTGGCCCACGTAGTGATCCAGGGATGCCATCCCAGACTATCTGATTCCCAGTTAACTTTTAGCGCGTGGCCCATCTCCTCCTATGCATGTTCAACCCTTCGAGTAAAGACCTGATTCACTTGGTTGAGTATACACGTATGCGGCAAGGAGTGGAACAAAAAGACGGGCTGTCCACCATACGCACCGGCGGGGAATCGAACCCGGTCTCACCATGACATCTACTTAGTTCAAAGACCCATTATATTGGTGCGTGTTCCGAACACCACCGGTGCTTTTACCCTCCCTCTTCAGACCATTCGAGTTCAGGTCCAGACCAATTTCAGTCGAAATTAGGGGAGAAGGAGAAGGGAATTCGAGCGTGGAGATTCAATTTTAGCGCGGAGATTCACTGACAATTCTCTTATGTAGACTCGCACCGGTGCTCTCCATAAGCTACCTCTCTTTACCGAGCTTCCGGCATCTCGAGGGAGACACACCCGCACCCAGAGGTGGATAAAAAAGGCTCGCTCATATCTTGGTCATGGTACAGGGGTGATCGAACCACCACAGGCCCGAGTATTCCTCGTGTTGCATAGTCGGGCCTCTGTTTGAGCCCACACGGTGTACTGTTCCTTGTTATAATATGAGATGGAAAAACACGCCCTCATGTGGTACTGTCCTTTGTTATAATATAAATATATGAGATGGAAAAACAGACATAGCGAATCAAGAACGGTTCAACTTCGGTCATCTGGCTCCATTCAACCCCTCGAGTGGTTTTTGCGGTCGTAATTCTCGTAGTTGGGTATGAGGGGGAAACAAAACGAAAAAAGGATCAACCGCTTATCGTATGCACCGGCGGAGAATCGAACCCCGTCTCATCATTGTAATACACTTATGCAGACATCACCGGCCCTACACATCACTGGTGCGCGTTCCATACACCACCGGTGCTTGTACCTGCAGCTTCAACGCACTCAATTCTCGACTGTTTCCCGAATTACGGACGGTTGGGAGCGGATAATTATGGTTCGACGTGTTATTGTGTCCTGTTTGCCATGCTCGTGACCCCGTCTGGCGTTGCTCGTGGCAGTCATGCCCAAGGGGCTACCGATTTGCGAAATCTGCACCATACCTCGAAACTTTTTTCTCAGAGGTTTGGGCGACCCCCTCCCCCCCCTGGTATGCCGTAAATCTCCTTTTTAGGAAGCCATCAAATTCTCACGCAAGACTAAATGTCGCTCGAAATACCGTGGAGGCGTGGATTTGGGCCTCCAAGCCTCTGAATAGTGCTCGGGAAGTCCCGGGAAGTCCTTTGGAGGTATATAGGAAGTTTTCTCCGAGGTATAATCTTTGGCCATTACAAGAACACATGATCGGCTACTGCATTGGGAGGGGCTGTGCTCCGCTGATCGACCAAACACGGTAATAATGTATTACCCTCCAACTCAACCACCATTCGTCCGTTTGCTTTGGTGCCTCGATAGATCAGACTCAGAATCTAAAACTGAGTAAGAAGGGAAGGAGATTCAAAAATTCTAAGATCGGAAGCCCCTTGGTCATGCCTCGCAACTGCCACCAAAAGCCAAAGCCTCGCAGCTCTCCGTCGCCGCAAATCGCATAGGCTTTCCTCTTATGCTGTGGAGACTTCTCACAAAGGAACGCTCCAGCTGGCTGTCTGCCCGACGAAGTCCTCGCCATTGCCTGCGGCGCGTGCGGCGCATCTCCTGAGTCCTCTGCTTACCCACCTCGCGTTGGAGAGAGAGTAACGCCGATTGACGGTGGCCAGCCTCAACGGGTGCCCGTGGTCGAGCTGAGCTGTCCTTGTCTCGCCGTTCCAAGAAGAAAATGATGCCGCGTTGGTTGTCTGGCCGCATGTGGGCCCCCGCTGCCGTCGTTCAGCCCAGAAAAGTGAGAGCAGCATCGTAGCGCTGCTTGGAGCGCATGTCCTGGTGCACACCAAGGGCCAGGATTTGGCCTCGCGCACCACGATCCTGCGAATGTCGCTGTCGCTAGCTCTCACTTTTGCGCCCTCATTCCCAAGCCGTCGCCACTGCCTGCGTGCCCGCTACTCTCCATTCAGACGCCACTGGATTCTTTAACCTGGGACGTACCGCGCTCCCCTGCACCGCTGAGCGCTTCAAGCTCGTTCGCGGGTCGCCCGCCGTGCGCTTGGGGTGCGCACGCGGTACGACCTCGTGCATTCGCTCTCTGCTTTTGCCCCGGGCTGTATCGTGCATTCGGGGAGCTGCGAGCCGCGGTGGCGATATCGAGGAGGGAGGAACTGACACCGACCACCCCGCAGTCTCCCGCCTCGATGTTGGAAGGGAAAGGCGTGCGGTGCTCAGACGGGAGGGCGATCTTTACGTGCAGATGCATCCTATGCCACCGACGCGCGACGCAGAGGCTCGACGAGGCTGCGCAGAAGCGGAGCGATAACGGGTTTCGCGCGCTCTTCTTCCCCTCCCGTCTATCCTCTCCTCCATCCTGCCCATCTTCTCCTCCATTCCCTCCCCAGTCTCCCTCGGCACTTTCCCTCCGCCCCTTCCTTCCTCGCCGCCATCCCTTCCTCCCCTCTTCATTCCTGCTCTACCGATGCTTCCTTCCGCTTCCTCGCCGCCGCCCCTTGCTTCCTCGCCGCCGCCCCAGTTCCCCTTATTTTCCTTTCTCTTCTAAATTAATTTTGCGCTCCCCTCCCGCGGCGGACGGCGTCTAGGGTGCGGACGCTGCCTCTCCCGAGGCGGACACCGGACGACGCATGACGTGTCATCGCAGGGCGGAGGTGCGCTGTCGGGTGCGAAAAGAAGGGTGCGGCGGGATGTCGAGTGCGGGCGAGCCTCGTCGAGTACTTACTAGCAGCGGGCATGCCGTCGGGCCGGTGCTGGATGTCCCCCGCGCACTGCGCCCGGAGAAGACGGTGCGCAGCGAAGATGGCGCGCGGAGCGTCGTGTTAGCTAGCTCGCCGCTTTGCGACGGGTACGAGCGCTTGCGCGCGGGTCGCTGCGGTGGGATGTACATCTGCGCTGCCGCCAGTGCGGCGATCGTCGGTCGAGACTCGACGGGCCGTGCTCGATACTTGGGGAGGAAAAATGTGCCCGTGCGGGGATGGTGCTACATAGCGCGATGGAGGGGTGTGCGGGTTGCCCCGGGTCGGCGTGCACAATCCGAGCCTTACCGTCGATGTGGTGGGCATGTACGCCGTCGCCGACGCCGCGACGATCGAGGTTCAGCGGCAAATGCGGAGTGTACCGTGTCGGGGAGAGACGGCGCGCGGTGCCTCGCAGGGATGGGCGCGCAAGCTTGAGCCGGTGCTGACGAGCGCCGGACTTGGGGCTTATGTGGGGGTTAGGGGGGTTACGCGAGACATGGCGTAGGCACCCAGTGTGAGACTTCCTTCCCGGAATCCCGTCTTCCAGTGCTCAATTCGGATTCCAGCTCTTCTCGATACTCTGCTCCGGTCGGCTCTTTCTTCTTGTTCATATCATGTTAACTTATGTTCATGTATCCCTACCACGCCACTGCAACACTTATCTCCCCCTCTGTCTTTTGCAGTAATGATTTTCGGAGTTTCCATTGGCGCGCCGCCTCGAGTGCTGAAGCTGAAGTTGAAAATTGATCCATCGCCTGGTCACTCCCGTGTGCGCCGATACCATCTGCCTCGTCGACGTTATTATAACCCTTCGCAGATAAAAGTCTGCGGGTAGAAAAATATCAGGACCAACGCGACACGCACCGGCGGGGAATCGAGCCCGTCTCACCGCTGAACATTGAGGCATGCAGACAGGAAAATTTGTGTGTTTCGCGAAATTCGTACACCACCGGTGCTTATGGCTTACTACTCAATCGTTTCATCCAGACGTTTCAATAGTGCTATGGGGGAAAAAGGAGGTTGCCGAAGAAGGCACCGGCAGGGAATCGAACCCCGTCTCACGGCACGTTGCAATTTCCTATGAACTGCCAGTGCATCCTCACTGAATTACCGACTACATTCAAAGTTTTGTGGTTCAAAATGCGATGAAAAAAGGTTGCGCCTCGACTCCAAATTGGAGTTGAAGGATATTAGTACACCTTTACGTCGAGACCTTGTGCTCGATACGCTTCCAACTTTTCTTCGAGCTCTTGACTGATATAGTCTTCTTCCTCGTCGCCGTAAATGTAGATGGAGATGGAAGCCCAACGGGAAACCTTCGGCGCGGAGGAGAAAGCGAGCAGTTGTTCGTCCGTCCACCACCGTGATTGTATCATCGCGTCCATCGTGTCTTCCTCGAAGTTTAGACCAGCATTTGTCAACTCCAGAGTCTGAAGTCTAGGGGCCAAATGAACGAGGTCCGTCGCCGAGTACTGAAGGGCCGTAACGATGGAATCATCGAAGCATACGGGAGAGGAATCCATGTGCAGTTCGACCAGCGAAGGAGCATGTTGTAGGATGGCCATTAGATCGTCGGACAACATGAACGAGGTTTCGATCGACATCGACTCGATATTGGGTGCGTTGAGCTGAAACTGCGTAAACTCGGGAGACTCCCAGCTGATCTCGGATTGTAAATAGAGGTAGAGTTCTTTCAACCCGGGAAGAGCCAGCCGGACGAAAAACGGGGTGAAGAAACCTGATGTTGAATCAGAGAAGGAAACATTGAGGTCTTTAAGCTGCCCTAGCGTCGACATCGATCTCGCGGAAAAGTCTGGCATGGTCGCCCACGCCAGGGTGTCGAACCGCGCGGTAACGATATTCGGACACTGAATCAGAGAGTCGAGACAATCCAAGGGCGACGGATCAGTCACACTGATTTTGGTGAGCTGGGACCATGGCATCATGAGCTGAGCCGTACGCCGGGTGGACAGGGTGGCATCACGCAGACGGCGGGCTGACAGAAAGACTGGGACGCTTGCATGACTCCTCGCGCGGCAGCTCAGGGTCAATCGTCGGAGATTTTCTAGCGGGGGGATGGGGGTTCGAGAGAGAGCTGATAGGGAGTTAAGGGAAAGGTTCGCGCTGCTCCATCGGTGAGATGCATCGAACAACACGTCCATAAGTGGTGCTGGATCCGCCGCGTTCCCAGAGACACGGAGGCTGACAGGGACCCGCAACGGTGAGGATCTCTGGAGCCACTCCTTCATGCCGGCAACATATGCATCCGTCGGTGGTTTTGAAACCACCATGTCGACGCATCGAATCCACAGTTGGGGTGTCGTGTGTGCCACGCGTCTCCAATACGCGCAGACCTGGGACAAGACATGGACCAGTTTGATGACGTCCGTGGGGGTATACGGGAAACACCCCATATCATGGTTTGCATACAGGAAGATTTCAACGAGACCCTCGGTGGGAAGCTTGTGGATTGGCGCAATGGCCATTCGCAGACGCGCTATGACACCGCGTTCCATGTCGCGCCGACGTTCTAGATCCCGGATTTGGGACTCGATGCGCGCGATGTTGGCCTCTGACGCAGCGATGAGACTTTTAGTCTGCAGCTCGAAGTTTTTGGTGGACTCCTCGCCGAAGAGGGAATGGGGAGGATCCATGGTCTGTGGTCTGTGGATTTGTGCTGTGAGCAGGGAGTTATGGGATGAGAGTATTTCCATACTGGCAGAATACAAGCTGGCAAGAAGAGGTTGAGTCCGAGTCGGAACTGGGCAAGCTGGTGAAGCGATGGTAGGAAGAGACAAGGCAAGATCCGGATACTTCCGGTCGGAGTAGACCTGGGGTCTTATGTATGGCGTTCACTGCTCGAACCGCGGCATCGCTTCATCCCTGTGCCAACCCCCGAATCTACTCATCGGCTCCGTCCTCCTCACCTCCTTCCCCATCCTGTACAGGCACGGAAGGGACGAGGACAGCGCACGACGTGCGCTGTGCGGTCGGCGTCAGCTACATACCAGGACGACATCAGGATTAGCCCTCTGGGATCTAGATCGCCACGAAACTGGAAAGCTTCGAAGACGAGGATGGGATG